ATGGTAAATGGCGACAAATTTAATTTTCAGTCGTTTCCGATCATAAGAAGCAAACTTAAATTAAAATCCAGTAAATGCAACTACTGTTCATTCAATATTAATTGTCGCATGTTCTTGGAAAATTTTCTGAGAGGTTATTTGGTTGCTAATTGAAAAATAAATAATCTGCCAGGTAACCTTTCAGAATCTTTTGACGAACAGTAGTATATAAATAAGTATATAAATGATGTTCATACATCTATTATATATTTGAAAACTTTAACAACAGTTTGCACCTTAAATCAACAAATTCATGGGAGGAAGTTTAATTAAGCGAACCCCAAATGCAATTTCTGAACAGCATCCGCCTAGTTACATGATCTACATATTGTGTATTATAGAGATTTTTCAAAATTTAAACAGGTTATAAGGAGCCAAAGTTTATTGGTGCGTTCCTCAATTGCGTCATGATTCCTGCAGTCATCGCTTCACCAATTTGGGCCTCGCTGTCTCCAATCCTTGTGCATAATGTGGACCCCACCTACTTTTGGTTTCGGAACATCCTCTTCTTCTCTCGGCATTTAAAATTAACCATCATCTTGAGAATGGCCCTTATTTATATCACTGTACTTCATGGATGCGTGCTAACCATTGCCACCGTAATAACGTATGTCAATCTCGGCCTTATGTTTAACTATTACGTAATACAGCTAACAAGGCGCGAAGGGGCTCATAAATTTGGGACAAAGCTGCTTTAGTACCGACAACTTCAGGTTATGATGACCATCACTAATCAAACAATACAACACCTCATGACCGCGGCCTTGGTCACTTTGTTCACCTGTTTCGTTACTATGGGTTACACTGCCGTCCGACTTGGTAACCACATGCCGATGAATACAACACTGATATGCATAGCCTTTATTTTCTTCTTTTTTGTGTTTCTCGATACCATGTTACCATTAGCGGTTGGAGGGAGTGCACGATCAGAAGAGTTTGTTAGACATTGGGAAATGCAAAATCTGCCAAAATTGGTGCGAAAAGAGTTGAAAAGTTGTAGCATTTTACGTGTTCGGATCGGACCTTATGCTACTTTGACGAAGGGGTTCCGCACTAATTTCTTCTCATTTGTTTTGTCTAACACGGTAGATCTGATGATTATGTGGTAAGCATGTACATAGGTAGATGTATTAATTATATGATTGTATGTATGCACAAATGCAGGGATTTATGACAAGGTTTGTGACTTTTCGTTAACTTGACGTGCTCTCTTTGTAAATGTGTACATTTTGTAGTATGTACATATGTGCTTATCGTATCTGCGAAAGTGTGTATGTGTTATCTTATGTATATACATACATATGAATGTATACATATGAATGAAGTACCTATGAAGATGTACATATATGCGAGTTATGATGAATAAATATGAAACTGTTATGCTGCGAAATATGCAAATATTTATGAATCTTTGTCTACACGCAGTACAAGTGTATCCTCTATCGAGGAACGATACCGAATAAAGTCTTGCAAAATGCGTTACTGCAGGAAAGGTGCTACTTGATTTACCACGTAACAACATGGATTTCAGAGATGAAATACATGTTTTTGGATTTTGCTAAGGATAATTGTAACACAGGATTTTAAATATTCCTTTAATCACGGGCTTCTCCTATGTCGTTAATTACTCCTGACGTATGTTAGTATTTTGATGAGTTCTGTCATCCATGACACTTTGCATAACCTGCGGCCTGCGGTTACTACGCTGTATGTTCACTAAAAATCAATAAAACTAGGGCACGTGTCAAAAATTAAACGGTTTTGCACGTAATTGTTAAGGACGCCATCCGCAAGTTCACATTGAACATGGGATATTCAGTATGGATGAAGACCTTGGCAAGTACCGTAAAAACTCAAATAGTAGCCGTTGCTCAAATAGTAGCCGTGCCCAAATAGTAGCCCTGCCTTTTTCCATAATTTTATAAATAGTGACCTTGCTCAAATAGTAGACCTTATTCGAATTATAGACGTTCGTCCATTTCCAATGTACATACATACAACCAGACATCTCGTAAGTAGTCAGCTTATTTAAGTAATTACATAAATCACAATTCAATTTAATCTCGGTTATACAAAATCCAATAGAACACGAAATTCGGCTCATCGGAGAAATTATAAAAATTAAGAGCACGCCTAACATGTAGAATTGTCATCTAATACGAATCTAAAGGAGAATTTGGTTATGTTATTAAAATTTAATTTGAGTTTGATTCTGGAAACAAAATTACAATAGCTGTTTGCTAATAGTAGCCGTGCATCTTTTCGTAATTTTATAAATAGTGACCGTGCCCAATTAGTAGCCTTGCTCAAATAGTAGCCGGGCCCCAGCCACCGATTTTTTAAACAGTAGCCCCCGGCTACTATTTGAGTTTTTACGGTATTTACAATAAACAAATGTGTCATCTTGGAGTTTTTCATGTTCTCAAGTTTTATTAAGTTTTCCGGGTTTCATCATAAATCCATAAATCAGTCGATAAAAAATGATAAAATACTTCGGAAGTGACACCAACGTATTGCTGTTTCAACATTAATTCTTTCTTGCAGCTTACGGGAAGCACGTGTGAGAAAGTGAAATTTTTTAATTCAGTTTTTGTACCTTACGCGTAACCAGTTTATACATACATACATATTCATATATACAATTTATAATTATTAAATAATCATGACAACCTTATTAATCCTTAGACTTAATATTATCCTCGTTCTCTCCATATTCGTGACAAACACTTACTCGCAGCAAACTCCCAACCGAATGATCTTGTCTCAATCCTCGAAATATTTTCACATTGTACCCTCGTGGTTACATTCACCATAAATCAAACCAATTTTGTTCCCGTGCATCCTTTGCTAATTCACGTAGAAAACTTTCTGTCCAAACCTGAACATGAACAGTCTAACGCATTCCTCTTTTCAAACGTGTCATTTACTCGTCGCCAGCAACTTAAAAAGTTTTGTTGGACATACATCTTTCCGGATATGGGGGTAAAATTTATGCTTTTCAATTTACTCTATTCCCCAATATTTCCATTATACGGCTTATCCCATTCAAATTATTTGGCTTGTATCATCCGATCAGGAGACACGAGCTTATGAGATACAAACCATCTACGCGAAGATTCTCTTCTCAGACATTAATTCTTTGGGCAGCCGTGAGTTTTACTTTGCTTATCAAGGATTCGAAGCTAATATGCAGTTTTACCACTTAAATGTGTACTACCCACGAAGATTCTGTACGACAGATTTCCCCGTATTTGCAAAATTTGAATTCGTGTCTAAAATTTATTGCAATCCAAAAGCTAAAGTGGAATGTTATCAACGTATCGAAGACTTAGCAGACAGAGTAGGCAATACTTTCAACAGATATGCCTGGGTTTATATAGGTTGGCTGGATCTAGAAGAAGTTGAATACACGTATACTCAAAGATTTATCGAAATGCAGAAGAAATACTTAGAAAGAAATAAATAGAAATAGAAAGACGAAACCCGAACTGGATAGCCGTAGCAAATCAATCGAAATCACTGGACGACTTTATTGCATACACTATTTTGGCAGAGTCACTGTACAATTTGTCATTGCCGATGAACGTGTACGAAAAAAGCAAATACATTTTCTTTAGAAAAGGACGCACTTACTGTTCAACGACGCATCAAATCGTACTTATTGGAAGCAAGTCATACAGTTTTTTGTCGTGTTACGGGATTCAAAAAGAAAATTCGTACCAAGCCTTCACCGACCCATTTGACAAGTATATTTGGCTCTCTGTTGTTTCCACAGTGTTGATGTTTACCTTGATAGGAAATAATGTTCAGATAACCAAGATGATCTCTAGTATTGACGTTAGTATACTTTCAGTAGCCGTATTTCTGGAAATATCGGTCCTCTCAAATATTAATAAGATCGTTCCAACACTATTAAAATTTGTTGTCTGGATTTGGATATTTTGTGCGGTGATACTGACTTCAGCCTACAAAACTATCTTCACAACGGAAGTGATCCTCCCGTATAAAAGGACCCCTTTATGGACACATATTTACGATCTTCAGGACCAAGGATTTAAATTCTTCTTACCTGTAAAACCCAATGTGCAACAATTTTACGATTGGTATGCCCACGGAATTCCAATAAAAACGTTTTTTTCCTTCGAATTCTCGGTGTATACAGCAATTGCGGCGAAGTACGAAGGTAACTTTCCACGCTTGTTGGGATACAAAAGATTTGCCAAAGCATTATTGGCCAGCGACCCTGCAAGTGAAAGGAAAGCTTCGACTTGGGGACAGAATATGACACGTATCTGGCGGGATTTTCATTACAAGTGGCCTTCTCATGCAGAGGCGTTCCTTGGATTGGGACGGCCTGGAGCACATATTGAGTCCGGCCTTTTCAAAAATGGTGTAAAATATCTAGTCATTAAGAAATTGTATGTATCTTGCTTCAAAGTGTCTCGTAAAATTAAGTGCCATTTAGCCCTCTATATCCATCTTTCAAACCGCGGAGTAAATTTGACATGAAAAAAATGTTGAGCTCATTTTAATTTCTTTATCACTGATTGTAATTATAATTTGTTAGGCAAGTAACAATAACTAAGTCACAATATGCAAGTTACAATTTTGTGTGATAATTCAAATGTATGGATCCCTTAGGATCAACAACGGTACCGTGGGAGATCCAAAGTTTAACGTTTACAGGAGTACACTCTTAGAAAAATCAATACCAGATCAATACCACGCGGTATTCATATGTGACTCTACCGTTTTGGTATTGATTTAATACCAGGCGGTATTATTTATACCGTGACGGTATTAAAATGTCACTTACGGTATTGATTTTTTTTTTCGTGGTGGTATTGTTTATTAATACCGAAGGGTATAAACCTAGGATGCAGCGGTATTAAACGACTAAATAAGGTATTAATGAGTGATACCATGCAGTAAGAAAAATAACGGTTTAGTACTGCTTGGTATTGATTTTAACATTATTTATTTGATACAATTACAAGTCATAAAATTATAAATGACATAAATATTTACAAAAAATGGAAATCCGGATGTAATACATATAATGGAATGACTTAATTATAAAGCTGGCTTACGCACTATAATGTGGAAAAGTTGAGCTGACTGGATCTAAAAGCGCAAGTAATTAAAGAAATAACTTGTGTAAACAAACTTTTAGGCAGTTATTTATATATATTTTTCAATTTAAAGTTATCTTACCTCCTAATTCGACAGGAAATATCCGACTGAAATAAGTGATAAGCAAGTTGTCAATTAGTTGAAATATCTATACACGTCTAATTTAATTTAAATTGTCATTCTAACTTCGTATACATATGTATTCACCAACCTAAAATTATCCGGAATCCTATATTCACGACCGGAACTAGGAATTGGCGAAGTTGATGATGTCGCTAAACATAAAAAAATAAGTTAATTAATATAAAGCAGAAAACAACGAAATTGGTGGTTTAAAATTCCTCCCTATTAATTTAATACGTGGCAAAAGATAAAACGAAAAGAATAAATTTAAGCTTACCCTTTAATAAGAACGTGTCAAAGTTTCCACTAGCGGAAGTAGTCAATTTCTTCCCCACAAATAATTTACCAGCCGAACTATTTAAGAAGAACTTATTTTTAAAACGAGAACGATTTGCAACTGCAAGTGAGTAGTTTGCAAATCTCGCGCACAAGTCTATACCGGACAGATTTGAGACTTGGTAAACGTGGTATAAAATCCATACCCCACAGTATTATTTTCATACCTTAATAGTATTACTATTTAATACTCTCTAAGTTCAATAGTCCGGTATTGATTTTCCGTAAAATTTTGATACCACATTGTCACCTCTTGATGATACCGGTGAGACGGTATTAAAATTTTTCATGGATCAATACCCAGTTTCTAAGAGTGTACGTATGTACGACTAACCACAATAGGATGCATTAATTCTGGGACCATACCATTTAACCAAGATGTTATGGTTGTAGTGCGGGAGGAAGAATTCATTGATTCAAATGTCGAAACAAGATGCAGAGTCTGACATTGCATTAGATTTAGATATGTCCAAATTTTCAGAAAGAACGTGTTCGAATCTAACACTCAATTGCATAAGAGAATCCTTCAAAACCACAAAATTTTACACACGTCGAGGAGACAGAATGGCGAAAACCAGTGTCTTTCGAGAAAAGAAAATTATCTTCGTCTAGTACAATGAGCACAATTTTTCAGGGCGACTAGTACTCCTCCAGAATTAAAAAATTAAAATGTTTTCCATAATATGACAATTGTCTTCGCTCGAATCAAAGAATTAAAGCTTAAAGGGTGTAAATTTAATTCGGTAAGCTTTTTAATTGCAAAAAGAAAATGCTTATTATTCAAAAGTACAGTTGTGACCGAAGCCAATATTTTTTCCAGAGATACCTTAATATTTGGTCTTTCCACCATGCACTACACTCACCCTCTCAACTCTTTCCTTTAATCTCTATGCTAATTTTTCCAACATTGATTTTAGTATTAAATGTCGCTTGTCACGAAATTATTAGTCAGTTCTTTCTTTAGGATTTGCATCTTGTACACTTTTTCGTTCAAGATGTGCAACATATTATACAGGAAATACACAAACAGATTTTTATCTCGCCACTAAAATTTCCTAGGCACCGATGAAAATTGTTATTCTATTACCTCATATTGGATGTTTCGATTTGGTCTGTGGAATTGTCCTGCATGAAAATAACTTTTATCTCAATTGGCAATAATTCCTTGTTCCCTAAGCTATCAATGCAAATAGGTTACATTTTGACGATATATCCCGTTTCATCTATATTTTCTCATTTTTATATAATTTTTAGAGGTGTCACGCTACGTGCCAAAACCACATGGTACCACAATTTCCCACCAAGATTTCAGGACCCTCATTAACGATTGGTCCAATTTTTGGCTACTATGTATCTCCCATTTTGTCCGTGAAATATTGAGTATAACTCAATTTAATATTAATCAGTGCACAAGATTTGACGAGGAAATCTTTTATGTTGTCAAATACCTTTTCAGGGCGCTTATGCAAATTCAACACGGTAATCAATATTTTAGATGAGCCCATGATTTTTTCAGTTAGACTGTAACCTACATATGTGACCGGGTAACTTCAGTGATAGTTTTCACAATAATGGACTATTTGTACCTGATTTTCATTTAATCCGCTTTACGCCGTTTCACTCCCTGGCACCATTTAGACCAGAACTCCAAGTCTTCCCGTGAAATTTTAGCATTTTCTTTGTTTTCCGGGTAAGTGGGATCCATCTGGGTTATTTAGGTCGTTTTCCATCATTGACAAAATTTTTGTTCATGCATTGACATGAAGTTTTCTTGATACATCCGAATTTTGGAGAAATTTGGTATCACTTGGAATTTCCCGCTTCTAAGACCAGCGTCTTAATGTTATAGTGCTTATGATTAGCGCTTACCTTCATTCCACTTATAGTAAAAATTTCAAAGAAAAACATTAACGGAATCAAAAATTATAGCTGTCTTTCTATCAAGCGGGGGCAGAAAGATGAAGGTTACCGGATTAAATTTACACCCTTTAGTACTTAGCAGGGAATTTTGACGCGAAGGGCAGATTCTTTGATTTCTATCAGACTTAAGTCGGTTCGACGTTTTTTCGAATAAATCCGAATTCTTATTTCAACAATTCGAAACAGAAAACATTAGCTCTTAAAAAAGTTTATTTTATTAAACACCGAAAACCGGTGCTGGAGTTTTTAAAAACCGGTTTTTCGGAAAATTGTGAAACGGTTTTTTCACAAAACTGGTTTGTGGAAAATTGTAAAATTAGTTTTCCGTTAAATTGAAACCCGATTTTGAAAATCTTCTATGAAATTGGAAAAACCAATTTTGGATGCTCTATTTACAAACCCCTTGTGACTCATTTGCTAATCACGAAGTTCAATCCTCTCTCATTTCTTGAAATCAAATGTTACATAAGATTATGAATAGGGTTGCCCCGGGTACCGGGTAGTTACCCGGTAATCAGAATACCGGGAATGTTTTAAGATACCCTTTACCCAGCCGGGTATACGTAAGTACCCGGTCTATCCGGCCGGCTAATTTAAATATTCAATTTTCTTACCTGAAATGCAAAACCTTACAAAAACTTATACTCCGATGGATTACATTTTTGTACTAGGTATAAAATAATGTTTTTTTTAAATGGGTACTACTTTGGACAACACTTACTTATGTGGACATTATATATAAATTTTAAAATTACTTTGAGCGCACTCATATCAACCAAATTGCAATCAATCAATTGTATTGTATTGAATATCTCGCAAATTAAGCACAACTTGCGAAGTTTTGAGAAATTTGAAAGATTTCTCAAAGCTTTTGCTAGAAACCCATTGGTTTTTTCACAAGATTATTTCGGTAACTCGTCCTCGCGATCGTTAGCGAGTGAAATTTCGAAAATTGATGAGGATAAGATCAAATAGACTTCTTTATGGATTCGCATGATAGCACTTCGAAAGTCTCGCAAAATTTGGTTCGTGAGGGGAATCTTGAATCCCTTCAAGAAACAAAGCTTTTAGCCTCACAAGCTTGTAAAATTATTTCAAAGGTCAATAAGACATTGTCGTGAGATGATTCCTGACAAATTCTTGATAAAAGTAGAAAAATTCCCGTTATTTTTAATATATAAATAAATATTACCCGGTACCCGGCCGGGTAGCCGGCAAACGTTTTAGGCCGAGTAGTACCACTACTCGGGGCAACCCTAATTATAAATTCGTGGAGGTACGTCGGAAATTGTAGTCCTATATTTAATATGGCACATATCAAAGTTGTCATTAGCTAAAGGTCTATTCCCACAAGAGTAGATTCGGGCTTAAAATTGTTAAATTGTTGACTAGGAACATCCGGCCTAGCAAATGAAGCACGCCTGCCATACACTTTTCCACACTTAATATGCATTTATCTTGCGGGGTGTGATAGGACAATTATATCTAGTGTATAGGGCCTGCCGGTACGGCCCACCGGGTCGTACGGCCTGGAGCCAGCGCTCCACCTAGAAGCATCGTCGGTACGGGCCTGTTCTCATGTGTACCCTAATTTATCGCGATGTGCCGATAAGCTCGCTTACTTAGACGAAGAGGAAAAAATTAAGAATATTATTCCATTCTTAAATGATAATTTGGATGGGATCGTTTTGATGGAGGGAGCTGATGATGATTTCCTTCTGACGTGGTATGCATTCCAGATTGATCCAACGCCAAGAAGGAATTTTGTACTTGATAGGGTAAAATTTCTCATGGTTTCGGGAATTTATAAGCGTTGGGAGCATTGGTTTAGGAAGACAAGACCAAAGAAGCTATTTTCGTATTATGCTAATTGGACGGGACCGAAAGTCAGAGCGTTAGAAAAGCTGGATTTTACCTCAAAAATTGTCACCACCTTAAAAATTTTGGGAATTTGTTGCGGATTTTGTGCTGTGCTGGGGATACTGGAAATTTCTTATGAGCAAGTGCGCTATTTACAACGGACTGTAGAATATGCAGTACTAATCATAGAAGAAGGTATAGGTAAAAATTATTAAGTTGTGAGTACGTATAAGTGTTTGTGAAATCGATCAGTGTAAAGTTGTCAGCAATTGATTAGCAAAGATCTTAAGGCCCGTTCATATATTACGTCATCAAAAAGCCAATTTTTCGTTTTCGTGAGTACATAGGATTTGTTTTCCTATGTAGTTATTTGAACAAAGGTGTATGTATCATCAAGGTCTGGCTACAAATGTCTGCAAATAATAATCGATTTAATTACTGATATAATACTAATTTGTTATTTATACATCGAGTATTTATATACCTATATAGTTGTGTTCGATCATTAATTGGTTAAGTTCTAATTAAGAATCCGTTCAACCATGTACGCAAAAGCTTTGACTATTTTCTGCAAAAGCACAAATTGAACAACATAATTGCACTTATACAACGCAATAACTAAAATTTATATTGGTAAAAATTTGGCATGATGATTGAGCCTGTGTAATGCAACATAGATTTTGTATATATGTACGTTGACTTGTCAAATAAGTTAATTGCGGCTGTAAATTGTACTGCGGCCTTACAAGCGGACCAATGGATTCTCCCACACATTCCAGATTTACTAAACTTCGATGTAATTTATCGTTTTGTAGGAACTACATTACACAGTGCTCTTTCACGTCACTTGATGCAATTCGTCATTTTGCTATAATTAGTGAGGCATTGTATCCGCAATACTTGACTTGGAATAGGTCGCCATGGAGGGCACAGCCTACCCGAAAGCGCAAACTGGTGCCTTGGTATTTCTTGTCATTCCTGATCGCAATGTCCGCCTCGTGTAGCGTGTATATCGCCACAAGAGAAATCTTTAGATTCCAAAAGGATCCAGAAATTAGCGTTTATACCGGAATTGTTGGCCTGATGCAAATCTGCATAAATTCCTTCAACGTTTTTCAAGCTATTACTATGATTTCTACAGTGCACGACTACTGTTTCATACTGAACCACGTGTACAAAATGAGAGGACGGGGGTGCGACGACAATGGTAAGTGGGGTAAAATATTTGCTTTCCATTGTTAAACTCATAAATAATTAAATATGTAGCAGGGGCTAAGGCTTACTAGAAGTTTGCCATTAGAACAAAACAAT